CGTTATGTCAAGACTTACGTCCAACCACTACTCGCTAGACGCACATCTCTACAGAATAAACCTCGTTGGCAGCAATATATGTAGGTGCAGAACCGGTTATGATGACATCGATCACGCACTTTGGTATTGCCAGGGTAATGACGCCTCCAGAGCACGACTGTTGGATACCCTAGTGGCCCTAGGTAGACTACCCTTCCGTGAAGTAAGAGATGTATTGGGAACCCGTGATCTTCCCTACATGCAAGCGATCTACGAATTCCTTTGTATGTCTGATCTTAGAGTTTAATGTGACCATCCCCTCCTTTCCAAACAGTTTCCAGCCATTCCCGACAAACAATTTGAGCTGCTTAAAGGCTGAATAAGCTATTTTTTAGCTGAAGAAGCAACATATTGACTGAATGAGCTCTTGTTCTGCTCCCAATGTTTGTTGGTTTGTATCCCAGTTTTATTATCCTCCTGTTTCTGTGCTACTTGCCCCTGCCCAGACAGGATTTGGTCAACCGTCTGAGAGTAGTATCTGAAGGAGGCTTCAGAAACCAGTTTCCTACCTAGCTCCTTCCAATCGAAATTGTTACCCATTAACCTCAAGCCCGCCACGAGTAATTGGTACCCAATATTAATCTAGAACTACTGCTGTATAAAATGTAAATTCAAACATTACTGATTTTTGGCTCCGCAAAGTGTCACACGCAACTGAACCTAGTAAATAAACGAACTAGTTAAAAAAAACTCTTAAGAGTTACCAATTTAATTCGTTCAAACAAATCTGAAGGCTGCTCAACTGAAGTTGCTCTTCTAGACATAGAAAAGTCATTCAACAGTGTTGGGCATGAAGGTTTGATTGCTAAATTGAAAAAGTTTAATTCTCCGCTCTATATTATGAAATTAGTCCAAAATTATGTAAGTGACAGAACTCTGCAGGTAAATTATCAAAATTCCAACTCTGAAGGACTACATACAAAAGTGGAGAGCATAGACGTGCAAATTTTAATTCCTTTTTAAACGAGTTGATTTGACATTCTATACGATTTAATTTGTAATAACAAATTCAATATGAAAAGTCTAACGATGAAACCGATTTAATTTGTGGTACAGTAGGACAGAAAAATCTTATCTTGTATAATAATCCATAAACATAATGCGATGTATGTCATTCTTATATGCGATTTTGACTTAAACTGTATTAAAACTATTCGACATGCCATTAAATGGTTAGTAAATCAAAATCAAAATATTTCTGGCAAATATAAACGTAAACTAAGTTCAGGCCACAAAAATAAAATAGGTTGAACTCAAACGTATTTTATGTCAGGGGGAACGACACTTCAGGATTATCCCATTTTTACCCAAACCGCTCATATAATTTTCAACGTGCACAAAATTTCAATCCATCCTATCTATTCTTTCTATTCCCAACTTATCCCTTCTGCATGCACACAAATTGTCAAGCAAGCCGTGCAGTTTCTCGAAGTTTTCAGGTCGACCGCGAAGCACTCTGCCATACTCACTGTCAGTTTACAACACTCTCCACAACAAACACCAGGTATGTCAGCTGACCATGCCGGTAAAAAATCGGTGCGAAAACTAAAAAAAGATGACGGACCATTTTTCTATAATCGGTCTCGGGGCAAAAAACCGAGCAAAAAACATCAAGTGCATCACGGAGGAGACGGCAACGCACATCCATTTCCCGGACTCAAACCGATCGAATTCGACGGATAAGAGCCCGGGTCTCTGTGTGTTGTAGCATGGAAGTTACCGAACAGGCGCGAAGCAACTGTTGATTTCGTTCGAACTGCTGATTCTAGCCCCGGAAAAGCCTTACCAATGAAACCCCCTACGACAAGCAGGTGAAAAAGGAATTCAGGTCGTTTTTTCCACTCGGCCCAAGTTTTACTCGTCTCTGCTACTGGTCAAGGGTTCGGATAAGAAAGAGCTAATGGTGAAGTAAGACACCCACCGGGTGATGTATTTCTGTGCGAGAATATTGCGGATCAAATTCCCATCCAAATACAGCTGGGAATATTAACTGGAACCTTGTAATCCATCGCCATCACCCGTTCATCCTACTGTGCAGTTTCGACCTTTTCGGTGCGGAACCGTTTTCTGCACTTGAGCTGTGAGCTTTGATTATTATAGTTGGGCGGTGTCCCGAGCGGTGTTCATTAATTCCGTTTCGCTAAAAATCAATATGTTTGACCCCCCCCCCCCCCCCTTTGGAACAAAACGGTACACTGAAAATGACCCCCCTCTATTTATTACGCAACGCTCTATAAACCCCCCTCCCTCGCCTTTTCATTTAATTAATGTATGATTTCGTTTTGTATTTTTTTATTTTTAGGTAATTAATTATATTATTAATATTCAAAACAAAAACAAAAGATCAGCGTACCATCGTGTACCTCCTTTTCAAAAGTTCAAGATAGCAAAAATCTCAATTTATAAAATTAAAACAGATCCATTTTGTAAAGCAAGATTTAGTGATGATAGCCTTCGTTGTCGTTGCCAAAAGCGTCAAAAAAGACCTGTATTTTCCGAGGGGGGCGACACATCTAAATCTCAAGTCTAGATGCTCAACAAATCTCACACTAGCGAATCAATTTTCGAAAAATCTTCTTTCATTTCTCGCATCTGCTTGCATCGCGCATCATCTTTTTGCAGGAAATCCTCAGAATCGTCATCAATCTTCTTTCTATCTACTCAGCGTGCGCGCAGCTAGCCACAGCAAAACACAATCTTTTCTGCATCGTAGATAGAGTCGTCCCCCTCGGTATTTTCAAACTTTACATCAAGAAACGAAAAAAAAAACAAAATGTTCTCTTTTTTACGCAACGCAAAGCTTTACTACTCCTCCCCTATGTATAATTAGTAACGATATAGGTGACTCCCTCTCTCCCTATAAGCGTTACGTAATTCATGGACGCTTCATTGCAGCAAATTTTTCTTCTTTTTACGCCTATCCTCTTCGCGTTCAGACTCGTATCCCTCTGAAATTTTTTAACATCCCTCACATCACATCAATTGCCTGATCTATTCCCATCTATTTTTTGTATCCCTGCTCAATTTTCGTCAACACGACACACTCAAAAAAATCCCATCAATTATGTTTTTCCCCGAAAATCCCAAGTAATTACTAGACTGAAAAAATACATCCAAATGAGTGTCGTTCCCCCTGTTTTATGTTAAGGTATGTGCACAGACAAACAGACGTAACTCTTCATTGTGTATCTTCGTTCACGCATTTAACGATTGATTTGAATATTATCAGTTTCGCGAACTACTCGCCGCAGCGCTAACATCGGATTACTTTGACGTCTCTATACATTCTATAGAACTTTCATCAAATATATCATATTAACAATATGATCCATTCATGCCTTTTCCAAATATTGCAATGGCGACCCGCAAAATATCGCTTCACGCACCATCTAGCGTTGAAAAAGGTCAGCAACAATCATTCAATTACAGTCGAGGGGTGCGAACATAGCACTTATTACAAAAGTAAGAGTCACATTATTTTCATTAATTACATTGTGTATATCATTTAACATTTGTCTGACATGTCACTGTTGTCGCTGTTGTCATCAAATAAAATAATATGCTGAAATACATTCATTTGAAATATTAAACAAATTTTCATTTGGTTTACCCCTCGTGACGATAAACAAATACATTGGTAGCCTTTTTGGCCACAGAGGTGCTGTCAGCGCTAAAAATTTGGTTCGCCAGCTAAGCGAAGGAGTGGATCATATTGTTAATGTAATATATTTGCTTTCATGCAATATTGCTTGCGAGTTAGGGAGCAAGCTTGTTTTCCGCGAGAAGCCTGAGAGATGTCGTTACTGAGGTCCTATGTTTTGAGATACTATGTTTTCAAGAAAAACTTTTTCAAAGAGTTACGTCTGTTTGTCTGTGGTATGTGATATCAATGTTTAAAAGAAAAATCATGCTATTTTTATTTTAAATATTTTCTGCTTAAAAATAAACATGAATATTTTTGAATGATTATGTATAGAAAATCACGTCATTGTATTATTATAAATTATGTTCTAAAGCAAAATAAAACAAATAAAAGTGGGCGATTATGTTGAACAACATTGGTGTCTTCGATGCATTTAAGTCCAGATTTAAATACGCTGCAGACACTAAGATTATTTCAACTAATTGTGCGCTTTTATTTGAATTATCGCCATCACATGATTCGGATGCCATCACATCCGTATTCAGGGATCAGTCTTTCATCCAGGGACGAGTTCTTCACCGTCCTATCTTTCGTCGCGAATATAACTGATAGGCATTCTTCCGCAAAACCGCCCGGAACAACGTGTGAATGTCGCCAGCTCCAGTGTCGCTCTGTCCAGCGGAAGAACTACCAACTTCTGCGCCTTTGTCACCGCCAACCGTTCCGGCTTGGCCAGGTTCCACCGGACAATGTTTCCATTCTTATTCGCCACGAACAGAAACCGATCATCGTCAGTGAGAGATGCTGTCAAATACAATTGATTTCGATATTGTTGCTTTTGAAATTAGCTCAAACATCAATATTTAAACATGCTTTCAATTTACTTTGAATAATGCTTATGTTTAGACAATAAACATTTACGGTTTTGATTTAAATAATCAAAACTAATATCTGTGATCAGCTTGTTTCTGTAATGTCTTGATTTTACAGAAACAAAAAAAAACGTTCAGAAGTTGCAGCGCTTAATTGCAACGAATGATCATTTCGTTCGCTTTACTAGTGGACATCGGTAAATGGTTGAAATCGCATGCTAGGGGAAATCAATGAAATGTCGGCCTAAATGTTCCTAATTTGGGCCCATACATAAATTCAGCAATCGAATAAATTTTCAATGGCAACCAAAAATATCCATTAGTACCGTCCCAATGACGCGTTCATCTAGATAAAATTGATAAATAGCAGATTTTTAGCGATGGGCCAAATCTTAGATCCATAGGCCAATATTAGAGCCATTTCCCCTATATCATCTCTCCGTGACTTAAGATTCTGCCGGTGGCGGAGGTGGTGGCTGCTGGTTATTATTATTGCCATTTTGATTGGCACCACGAGTGCTGCCGCGAAAGAGCGCTCCACTCTGCTCCATCTCATAGATCACGTTGGCAAACACATCCGGATTGTGACTCCTCATTTGCTCTGACAACAGCCTGCCGGTTAGTAGTGCGGCACGCATGCTGTTTATGCCACCAAGCTGACCCATCCTAAAATGAGAGGAAAATTTTGAAAATATCGCATTGAAATCGAAAGTTACGAAGAATCTTACATGTTCTGAACCGACGGATCGTCCATGATCCTTGTGAACAAGCTATTGATGGCAGGGTTGTTCAAAGCAGCGGTATAGTCGATTATGACTGTATCGGTCAATCCTTCGTCACCGCCTGCTCCAATTGGAACCGAGCGGTGTTGCTCCAGTCTTTGGTGCGTGACACTCACGTTGTTTTTGTAGTCTTGGTTATCCGGTTGGATCCGCAAAGCATTCTGGTACGCTTCCAGAGCCTGCGCGTATTTGTTCATCTTCGAGTAGGCCAACCCGAGACGCCCGTACGCTTTGCTGTAATTCGGATCATACCGCAGTGACATGTGACAATCGTCCGCTGCACTCTGGTAATCACCCAGAAGGGTGTAGGCCGCTGCACGGTTGCAATAGAACACCGGATTAGTTGCATCTTCGCTGATGGCTCTGAAAGAATGTGTTCAATGTTTGTTGCATCAGCACAAAATAACAGAAGAGACAAATTATTGCTTAATCCCACTACTTACTTGCTGTACGTGTTCATCGCTTCTTGGTACTTCTTCTCCTTTATCAACCGGTTTCCTTCGTTCTTCAGGTTCTCCGCTTCCTGCTTCCGTTTCGGTGAGACATACCTGAGCGTACTCTGGTAGACTTCGAACAAATCGATGTGATTCAGTGGATTTTCGTGGCTGTTGTCACCTTCTTCCTGTCCAATTTCGTTGACATTTTCCAAGCACTGTATGGCCACCCCTAAGCTTTCACGGGAGTTGGAACTTAAGTTCGGCTGCCCTAGTTGTCCGTTCAGGAAACGTATAAACGACCGCACGAAAAACTTTTCCTCGATATTACTCATCCCTTTGTTGTTCTTTGGATTTTACTGCGGGACAAACCTTCGGGTATTACTTCTTCTTCTTCTTCTTTCCTTTATTTAACGTCGGTCTCTGTTCCGCAATCTAGTGCCAACCACCGACGGACATCGATTCTTCTTCTTCTTCATTCCTTTAGTTAACGTCGGTCTCTGTTCCGCAATCTAGTGCCAATTAAAGAGTCTAAATTTATAAAAAGGCGACATGTCAAAATTGGAAAAATCGGTTGTCCGTCAAAGTCATAGGAAAAGTCATTCTAATCGAGCAGAAGACCTGTCAAATGGATAAGATGTCGTCTCTTTTTAAATTCAGGCTCTTTAGTGCCAATCACCGACGGACATCGATTGCCATCCATTGATGGCAATCGAATGTGCAAGGAAGGCAGCTTCCACACCAGCGTAGGATATCGCATCCATTTCAACACACATGGGCCGGGACCAACGGCTTTACTTCCCTTCCGAAGGAAGGCGTGACCAGAGATTTGTATGGCTCATGAAGAGCTTGAATTTATAAAGAGATGACATGTCAAAATTGGAACAATTGATTATCTGTCAAAGTCATAGGAAAAGTCATTCCAATCGAGCAGAAGACCTGACAAATGGATAAGATGTCGCGTTTTTATAAATTCAGGCTCTTTATTGCCTCAGAAAAATCTCACCGACCTCGGCTGGGATTGAACCCAGACACATTGGGGTGAGAAAGCAGTTACGTTTACCACTACACCACCGGCGCCGGTTTCGGGTACTGCTGGCCAGGAAGCGGAGTGAAATTTTCCACGGTTCACTTATTGGTCGGAATCAGGGGCGGTATGTGCATTCGAATGGGTCTACTGAAAATCCATCAATGAGATGTAAACTAAAGAGCCTGAATTTATAAATAGACGACTTTTCAATAGACTATCCGTCAAAGTCAAAGTCGGATTGATGTCACAGAGCTGCCAGGTGGTTTTATAAAAAATCTGTATCCACTCTATTAAAAAATCTGTATTTTCTGTATTGACGATTTTTTTCTTAATTAATCATGTTTTGTTGTTTTACAAATACAGTGCATACAAAATAACCATAAAAAGTGCTTAGCCACCTATTCGGGCTATCGTACTAACCATACGGGATATAATTGCGCCATTTGTGATATCATCCGTACTTATTTATAAGAGTGATATGAAGCCGTTTGAAAATGTATGGAGATTTTAGTTTCTACCCGCATAAACAATAACCATAAGAAGCGCCTAACCGCCAATTCGAGATATCATCCCAACTTTATGTGGTATGCTCATACTATCTATGATATTGTTATTGTATGGTACCCGTTTATTAGGGTATTCATTATCTTCCTGATAAGCAGTTTTAAATGCAAAAAAAAGTGCACGAGTTCATTACTATTTGATATTTTTAATATAGATGAATACAATTAATTACATCATTTGTGTGGTAGTTACACCGAAAAGTCAAGAGATGTCGCCCCGTCAGTGCTGGTAAAATCATTTTTGCAGTATGGAGAATATCAGAAAATCCGCAATTTCTTACGAAATACATTTTCAATGCAAGTAAAATGTTTACGAGTACTTGTATTTGTACCATTTTAATGTGCTCGGGCACTTTTCTTGTATTTAACATACATGCTTATATTGGAAATATTCAATTAATAGGCGAATCCAATAGAAACTAAGCGATTGTTTCAGCTTCTGGCGGTGAATAGGAGAACCAACAAAAGAGTGATGAGGGTGGAAATTTTCATCGTGAAGCAAAGGAAGTGGAAAATGTTTTTACCTTTTCTGATTAATTTATCCATCGCAGGTGCTTGAAATCATCATCCACGTGGAATATTTTGTTTTCTGTATCGGGTTTGCAGTGAACCGTCTGGTGCTTCCATATATTTTTGATGAGAAAAATTAAGATTTATTAAATTGTCCCAGCGGTTGTGATCTTCCGGATTTTTTATTTGTGGTTATTTCAGCTGAAAATCAGTTCTGATCTGTAGATAATCGAAAAATAAGACCACTCCCGATGGAAATTTGCAAGTTGTGCAATAAAATGTACATTATTTTGGGTTTTGAAAATCGTCATTATGGTGTAAACAAATGGATTGGATGACATTTCCTCTCAAAATCGGCTAGCGCACTCTACATTGATGGTGCACGAAAAGAGCCTATACTGTAAATCCCCATACAATCAAAAAAGTTATTTTGGCTTTATAAATTTGTTTTTTTTTTTTTTCTCAAGCATTTTATAAAAATCTGTATTGTAATTTAAAAATCTGTGATAAATCTGTATTCTGTATCGGGTCTGTATTAAGATTAAAAAATCTGTATAATACAGATAAATCTGTATAAATGGCAGCGCTGGATGTCAATGTTGTTAATTTGTCAACTTGTCACTCCCAACACAGTTTACCCATTTTTGGGTAGGTTCAGTTTTGACGGATCTGGATGGATTGTACCCAAATTTGGGTAGTTTTGAAATAGCGTGCATTTGACAGGTCTTCGAGCTGAACATTGCATTAGGTCCTAAGTAACATATGTCGATTCTATTCGCCGACTTTCTCTTTCGTTAATAACTTGAGCACATAACCGTTCCTTGTTGTGTTTGTCGTATTAGATGCTAGATAAAACTTTGTGCTGAAAATACCTCGGAATGTCTTTACATGGCCGTGGGGATACAAAGAGAAAGTCGACGAAGAGAATTTGTCAATGTTACTTAGGACCTAATGCAATGTTCAGCTTGTCTTCTGCTCGATTGGAATAACAAACTTTTCCTATGACTTTGACGGATAGTCTATTGAAAAGTCGTCTCTTTATAAATTCAGGCTCTTTAGTTTACATCTCATTGATGGATTTTCAGTAGGCCCATTCGAATGCACATACCGCCCCTGATTCCGACCAATAAGTGAACCGTGGAAAATTTCACTCCGCTTCCTGGCCAGCAGTACCCGAAACCGGCGCCGGTGGTGTAGTGGTAAACGTGACTGCTTTCTCACCCCAATGTGTCTGGGTTCAATCCCAGCCGAGGTCGGTGAGATTTTTCTGAGGCAATAAAGAGCCTGAATTTATAAAAATGCGACATCTTATCCATTTGTCAGGTCTTCTGCTCGATTGGAATGACTTTTCCTATGACTTTGACAGATAATCAATTGTTCCAATTTTGACATGTCATCTCTTTATAAATTCAAGCTCTTCATGAGCCATACAAATCTCTGGTCACGTCTTCCTTCGGAAGGGAAGTAAAGCCGTTGGTCCCGGCCCATGTGTGTTGAAATGGATGCGATATCCTACGCTGGTGTGGAAGCTGCCTTCCTTGCACATTCGATTGCCATCAATGGATGGCAATCGATGTCCGTCGGTGATTGGCACTAAAGAGCCTGAATTTAAAAAGAGACGACATCTTATCCATTTGACAGGTCTTCTGCTCGATTGGAATCGATGTGCGGTAAAAGAGGTAAGGAGAAAGGAAACTAGTGAACTCTTTCATTCTGACGGTGTTCTTATGCAACAGCAGACGTGACGTCACGTCTGTTGCTGCATAAGAAGACGCGAGAACGAAAGAGTCCACTAGTTTCCTTTCTCCTCACCTCTTATACCGCACATCGGATTGGAATGACTTTTCCTATGACTTTGACGGACAACCGATTGTTCCAATGTTGACATTTTAAATTTAGACTCTTTAATTGGCACTAGATTGCGGAACAGAGACCGACGTTAACTAAAGGAATGAAGAAGAAGAAGAATCGATGTCCGTCGGTGGTTGGCACTAGATTGCGGAACAGAGACCGACGTTAAATAAAGGAAAGAAGAAGAAGAAGTAATACCCGAAGGTTTGTCCCGCATTTAAATCCAAAGAAATTGTACCGTGAGCGGTCTTAGCCGTCCAAAATAAGGACAACACAAAGAAAAAAAAAATCCAAAGAACAACAAAGGGATGAGTAATATCGAGGAAAAGTTTTTCGTGCGGTCGTTCATACGTTTCCTGAACGGACAACTAGGGCAGCCGAACTTTAGTTCCAACTCCCGTGAAAGCTTAGGGGTGGCCATACAGTGCTTGGAAAATGTCAACGAAATTGGACAGGAAGAAGGTGACAACAGCCACGAAAATCCACTGAATCACATCGATTTGTTCGAAGTCTACCAGAGTACGCTCAGGTATGTCTCACCGAAACGGAAGCAGGAAGCGGAGAACCTGAAGAACGAAGGAAACCGGTTGATAAAGGAGAAGAAGTACCAAGAAGCGATGAACACGTACAGCAAGTAAGTAGTGGGATTAAGCAATAATTTGTCTCTTCTGTTATTTTGTGCTGATGCAATAAACATTGAACACATTCTTTCAGAGCCATCAGCGAAGATGCAACTAATCCGGTGTTCTATTGTAACCGTGCAGCGGCCTACACCCTTCTGGGTGATTACCAGAGTGCAGCGGACGATTGTCACATGTCACTGCGGTATGATCCGAATTACAGCAAAGCGTACGGGCGTCTCGGGTTGGCCTACTCGAAGATGAACAAACACGCGCAGGCTCTGGAAGCGTACCAGAATGCTTTGCGGATCCAACCGGATAACCAAGACTACAAAAACAACGTGAGTGTCACGCACCAAAGACTGGAGCAACACCGCTCGGTTCCAATTGGAGCAGGCGGTGACGAAGGATTGACCAATGCTGTCTTAATCGACTGTACCGCTGCTTTCAACAACCCTACCCTCATTAACATGGCCACAAGGATGATGGACGATCCGTCGGTTCAGAACATGTAAGATTCTTCGTAACTTTCGATTTCAATGCGATATTTTCAAAATTTTCCTCTCATTTTAGGATGGGTCAGCTTGGTGGCATAAACAACATGCATGCCGCACTACAAACCGGCTGGCTGTTGGCAGAGCAAATGAGGAGTCACAATCCGGATGTGTTTGCCAACGTGATCTATGAGATGGAGCAGAGTGGAGTGGTCTTTCGCGGCAGGGCTCGTGTTGCCAATCAAAATGGCAATAATAATAACCAGCAGCCACCACCTCCGCCACCGGCAGAATCTTAAGTCACGGAGAGATGATATAGGGGAAATGGCTCTAATATTGGCCTATGGATCTAAGATTTGGCCCATCGCTAAAAATCTGCTATTTATCAATTTTATCTAGATGAACGCGTCATTGGGACGGTACTAATGGATATTTTTGGTTGCCATTGAAAATTTATTCGATTGCTGAATTTATGTATGGGCCCAAATTAGGAACATTTAGGCCGACATTTCATTGATTTCCCCTAGCATGCGATTTCAACCATTTACCGATGTCCACTAGTAAAGCGAACGAAAATGATCATTCGTTGCAATTAAGCGCTGCAACTTCTGAACGTTTTTTTTGTTTCTGTAAAATCAAGACATTACAGAAACAAGCTGATCACAGATATTAGTTTTGATTATTTAAATCAAAACCGTAAATGTTTATTGTCTAAACATAAGCATTACCCTAATAAAAAATAACCATAAACGAACGATAACCCAAATCATTGAACTATTCCACAAATGGTTTGGATGATACCCAGAACACGTCGTTAAGCAAATTAACCATACAATTTTTATTAGGGTATTCAAAGTAAATTGAAAGCATGTTTAAATATTGATGTTTGAGCTAATTTCAAAAGCAACAATATCGAAATCAATTGTATTTGACAGCATCTCTCACTGACGATGATCGGTTTCTGTTCGTGGCGAATAAGAATGGAAACATTGTCCGGTGGAACCTGGCCAAGCCGGAACGGTTGGCGGTGACAAAGGCGCAGAAGTTGGTAGTTCTTCCGCTGGACAGAGCGACACTGGAGCTGGCGACATTCACACGTTGTTCCGGGCGGTTTTGCGGAAGAATGCCTATCAGTTATATTCGCGACGAAAGATAGGACGGTGAAGAACTCGTCCCTGGATGAAAGACTGATCCCTGAATACGGATGTGATGGCATCCGAATCATGTGATGGCGATAATTCAAATAAAAGCGCACAATTAGTTGAAATAATCTTAGTGTCTGCAGCGTATTTAAATCTGGACTTAAATGCATCGAAGACACCAATGTTGTTCAACATAATCGCCCACTTTTATTTGTTTTATTTTGCTTTAGAACATAATTTATAATAATACAATGACGTGATTTTCTATACATAATCATTCAAAAATATTCATGTTTATTTTTCTTCTAAACATTGATATCACATACCACAGACAAACAGACGTAACTCTTTGAAAAAGTTTTTCTTGAAAACATAGTATCTCAAAACATAGGACCTCAGTAACGACATCTCTCAGGCTTCTCGCGGAAAACAAGCTTGCTCCCTAACTCGCAAGCAATATTGCATGAAAGCAAATATATTACATTAACAATATGATCCACTCCTTCGCTTAGCTGGCGAACCAAATTTTTAGCGCTGACAGCACCTCTGTGGCCAAAAAGGCTACCAATGTATTTGTTTATCGTCACGAGGGGTAAACCAAATGAAAATTTGTTTAATATTTCAAATGAATGTATTTCAGCATATTATTTTATTTGATGACAACAGCGACAACAGTGACATGTCAGACAAATGTTAAATGATATACACAATGTAATTAATGAAAATAATGTGACTCTTACTTTTGTAATAAGTGCTATGTTCGCACCCCTCGACTGTAATTGAATGATTGTTGCTGACCTTTTTCAACGCTAGATGGTGCGTGAAGCGATATTTTGCGGGTCGCCATTGCAATATTTGGAAAAGGCATGAATGGATCATATTGTTAATATGATATATTTGATGAAAGTTCTATAGAATGTATAGAAACGTCAAAGTAATCCGATGTTAGCGCTGCGGCGAGTAGTTCGCGAAACTGATAATATTCAAATCAATCGTTAAATGCGTGAACGAAGATACACAATGAAGAGTTACGTCTGTTTGTCTGTTCACATACCTTAACATAAAATACGTTTGAGTTCAACCTATTTTATTTGTGTGGCCTGAACCTCGGCCTGAACATAGTTTTAATTCTTCAATGTTTGTTTAATTTATTAAGGTGTGACAACATTGATTCTGTTTGAACATGGTACCATACCAAAAAGAATAAGGTGTGGAAATATTATAAGATGAGTTTTGGAAGCGTTGGGAGAAATCTTCCATTTTTTGTAAATAAGAAGAGAAAATATCTACTACTGCAAATAACATCAAAACTTCTTCCTTTAGCGGAAATGCCTGTGTCAAAAGCGAACAAAGATTTGTGTCAACCCTGAGGCAAATCAGGCAGGTCCAAAGCAAAAATGTTATACAATATAGGCCCAAGGGCGTAGCCAGGTTTTGAGCTAGGAAGGGGCGATAAAAATTCTATGGAAAAATTGGCCGAATGTCATTTCACCGAACGCCATTTCACCGCAAGCATTTGTGTTGCTGGGTTTAGGGGGAGTTGGGCAACTATGTATAGGCACAACCCAGACAACCAGAAGTCGTATAACAATGTACAGACAGTATCGTAAATTGCTACAGTTTAAGTCAAAATCGCATATAAGAATGACATACATCGCATTATGTTTATGGATTATTATACAAGATAAGATTTTTCTGTCCTACTGTACCACAAATTAAATCGGTTTCATCGTTAGACTTTTCATATTGAATTTGTTATTACAAATTAAATCGTATAGAATGTCAAATCAACTCGTTTAAAAAGGAATTAAAATTTGCACGTCTATGCTCTCCACTTTTGTATGTAGTCCTTCAGAGTTGGAATTTTGATAATTTACCTGCAGAGTTCTGTCACTTACATAATTTTGGACTAATTTCATAATATAGAGCGGAGAATTAAACTTTTTCAATTTAGCAATCAAACCTTCATGCCCAACACTGTTGAATGACTTTTCTATGTCTATGCAACTTCAGTTGAGCAGCCTTCAGATTTGTTTGAACGAATTAAATTGGTAACTCTTAAGAGTTGTTTTAACTAGTTCGTTTATTTACTAGGTTCAGTTGCGTGTGACACTTTGCGGAGCCAAAAATCAGTAATGTTTGAATTAACATTTTATACAGCAGTAGTTCTAGATTAATATTGGGTACCAATTACTCGTGGCGGGCTTGAGGTTAATGGGTAACAATTCCGATTGGAAGGAGCTAGGTAGGAGACTGGTTTCTGAAGCCTCCTTCAGATACTACTCTCAGACGGTTGACCAAATCCTGCCTGGGCAGGGGCAAGTAGCACAGAAACAGGAGGATAATAAAACTGGGATACAAACCAACAAACATTGGGAGCAGAACAAGAGCTCATTCAGTCAATATGTTGCTTCTTCAGCTAAAAAAAAGCTTATTCAGCCTTTAAGCAGCTCAAATTGTTTGTTGGGAATGGCTGGAAACTGTTTGGAAAGGAGGGGATGGTCACATTAAACTCTAAGATCAGACAATATCAAGCTACTTCGCCGCAATGTTGCGCCACGTGCGCGGCCAGTTGGTTGTCGGGCTATTACGTTCCACCCTTGGCAGGTCGGTTTGGAGAACGAAATGTCCGTGGATTTGATCGGCGGAGGGGTTTTGTTGGATTTGGTGGGGAATTTGGAATAAACTAGATAGGATTATTTTGAGGTCAGGAAGATCTATAGAGATTGCTGGGCGGGGATTTACGTGGAGCAGAAAGGATCCATAATAAGGAAGGGAATCGATCTCACGAAGGTGCTGTTTAATGGCCAACGACTTACATTTTAGTGCTGGTAGATGCAACTTCAGTCCTCCACACTTAAACTTAAATTTTTATCTCGGTAAATCGTGGTACTGAAAACCTCCCGTAAAGCGTGATTTTTACCAAATTATCGTTAAAATAGTTGTTTTTACTGATTTTCGTTAACAATTATTGTCGTTATTTCGGTACCAAAAACAGTTTACTGACTTTCGGGAATTTTAATTTGCTGAGTGTGTCGAAAAAATAAGCAACTACCCATATCGGTTAAAGAATTCGCCGAGCTTCAGCAATTGTACTTCCTTTTCCAGGAAAACAATCTAAAGTGGAGTCCGCCATTTTTCAGTTTCTCTAGTGACGTGAATGACGTTTGCGTTGTGCTTCAAATCGAGGCTGAAGCAGAGCCAGTGAGGAGTAAACTAAAACAAATTCTTCGTAAGTATTAACTTATTTCTTTTTTAGAGTTATATGGAATTGGCAGATGCGATACTCTGCTTTTTTGTAAGCAGCTTGTACCGGGATACGTCGATGGCCTACAACGCCATGTCAATGTGCACATGAAAGAAAACCATTTTAATGCAGCTTTTATTGCATTCAATTGCACTTTTTCGATGTGCAAAATGAAATATGCTCATATTACTTCTCTGAAGCGGCGTATTTTACATGAGCATCCACCATTATCTGGTGGAGTTAGACCTTCAATGGATGTCACTCCAAATTTTGAGATCCTTTCTAATATCCCTCCAATAAAAAAAAAGTGAGGTTAAGCTCTCTTTCGGAGCAACCTGAGCGAAGTTTTTTGGCAGAGGAAGCGACTGCCGAATACGTTCCATTTAGACGAACCAGGAATCAAAACCTCAACCAAACACCTATTACTCTGGGGGAAATTAAGAATGCCGCTGGAGTGGGGATTTGCCGACTTGTAGGAGACGTAGGGCTTCCACAATCCAAATCTGTAGAAATCATTGATCTTTGTGACAATCTGGTTGAAATGATGTAACAACATCTACGAATTTTAACTATGACTTTCCTACAAGATAACGGTATTGACATAATCGAAAAAAATACGGTATACTTTTTGAACGAGTTTAATTTTTCTGGTATTTTCTCAGAAGTCACGACGTTCCCCAAAAGAACTAAATTTTTAAAGAAAATTGCAGTTTCAGTTCCCGAGCCAACGGAAAAAATGTTATCCTATCGCGAAGATGTCCGTCATGTGCAAGGAAAGCATCAAAACATTCGAGTGCCTAAAACATTTTCCTATATTCCCGTTATCGAAACTGATCTTTAGAAACCCGTCGAATCGAAAACTTTTGGAGGAATCTGAAAATGAGCTGAAATCGATTGGCACAACGAAAGAATACAGCTCTTTTTGTACTCGAGAAGCCTATCAAGACAGTATTTTTTTTCACAAGCACCCCAACGTTATCCGATTGAGTATATACCAGGATGATGTGGAACTAGGAAATGCGTTGAGCAGTAGAACCGGTATTAACAAAGTATCATGCTTTTCTTTCAAAATCCAGAACTTTCCTGACAAGTTTAACAGTTCTCCCAAGAGTATTTTCCCGTTAATATATTGTACCTCGGTCGATGCTAAAAAGCATGGTTATAATAAAATATTGCAACCATTGGTATCAGACATGAAAAAGCTGGAAACTGGTGTTACTGTGTACTATGGCTCTGAATCGTTCGTGATATGTTGATAGGAAAAATAAACC